CAAGCTTTCATTGATTGCTGGAACAATACAATTAAGGTCAAGTGCCTTATGTGGGGTGCTCTCCATTTTTATTTTACTGTCAGTACAAAATCGGGGGGGGGGGAAGGAGCCCAACTAGATTACATCACACCCTGTTAGTCTTCACTAACCAGGTTTCACAATCTTAGCATCGGTGAAGTTGCATTCTTCTGTTTGTATCTGTTGTCAATTGGAACACGACCTGACTGTTACACTTTACACGCCTATAAAATCGTCTTTTCCCTCGATCACCCACCAGTCAAAGTTTGTCCTAATATCAGATATAGTGTTTCCAATTTACACCAAAAGAAGATCAGCCTTGTGAGTAATTCATAATATCCAATTTACACCACAAGAGGACCAGCCTTGTGAGTAATTCATAATATCCAATTTACACTACAAGAAGACCGGCCTTCTGAATAATTCATAATATCCAATTTACACTACAAGAAGACCGGCCTTCTGAGTAATTCATAATATCCAATTTACACCACAAGAAGACCGGCCTTCTGAGTAATTCATAATATCCAATTTACACCACAAGAAGACTAGCCTTCTGAGTAATTCATAATATCCAATTTACACCACAAGAGGACCAGCCTTCAAATTGGATATTATGAATTACTCACTAGTTTTCTTGTGGTGTAAATTGGATATTATGAATTACTCAGAAGGCCGGTCTTCTTTTGGTGTAAATTGGATATGATGAATTACTCAGAAGGCTGGTCTTCTTGTGGTGTAAATTGGATTTTATGAATTACTCAGAAGGCTGTTCTTCTTTTGATGTTGGATATTATTAGATCAGCCTTCTGAGTAATTCGTAATATACAATTTACACCACAAGAAGACCAGCCTTCTGAGAAATTCATTATATCCAATTTACACCACAAGAAGACCAACCTTCTGAGAAATTCAAAATATCCAATTTACATCACAAGAAAAACAGCCTTCTGAGTAATTCATAATACCCAATTTACACCAAAAGAACGTTCAAAGACCATTATATAGTGTCGAAGAGTTTACCTGAATGTGGTTGCTGATCATGATGGACAAGGGATTTGCCTACTCGATAACATGCAGTCCATCATGTTTTTACCTGTCTGAACTAAGTTGGTTTGTAGAGCATGTCAGTGAAGTCTTTCCTTGACCAGCGTTATCGTCGGATCTGGATCCGAATGAGCATCGTTTGGATGAACTCGAACTTCGTATTCACCAGTTTAATCCCAAGTCTACATCTGTAGCCACCCATTTTGGTGATGGTTTAATCCCATGTCTACAACTGTAGCCACACATGTTGGTGATGGTTTAATCCCATGTCTACATCTATAGCCACACATCTTGGTGATGGTTTAATCCCATGTCTACATCTGTAGCCACACATTTTGGTGATGGTTTAATTCCATGTCTACAATGTAGCCACACATGTTGGTGATGGTTTAATCCCAAGTCTACATCTGTAGCCACACATGTTGGTGATGGTTTAATCCCATGTCTACATCTGTAGCCACACATTTTGGTGATGGTTTAATCCCATGTCTACATCTGTAGCCACACATGTTGGTGATGGTTTAATCCCATGTTTATGTCTGTAGCCACACATCTTGGTGATGGTTTAATCCCATGTCTACATCTGTAGCCACACATCTTGGTGATGGGGCTGCAGTCAAATAAAACATATTTTCTGCATCTCGTGGATCGACATAAGATGTGTCGCTCTGATGCTAAGATCCTAACAAAGTAACCAGAGAATATAACAAAGTTGTGAGATAGCAAATTATCTTTATTTTTATGATTATGGTTGTGTTTATCGTTCATTTATTATTTTCTTCTACCATTTAGTTTATCTATGAATTTTTAGTTGCATTAAAACGCTAACCCATCTTCTACAAACCGCTTGATCAGTTGCCAACAAACCTAGAAAGTATTCTTAGAGCCCTTGCAGAATGGCATAGGTAGGGACGTTCGGATCTAACCGCATACGTCAGTCCCACCCCCAGGGAATTTCTATATCTTTCCTGTGCGTTATGGCCTTTTATAACTGACGAAATACTGGACCGATTTTCACCGACCTGGCATGGTCCCCGGGGAGAGACAAAGGGGGATAACGTTCAGATTTGACACCACCACATCTCCGGTGGCCCATATGTTTTACCCGTATACGTTGAATGAATACATTATTATACAAATGCTTTAAAAAATATCCCATTTTTTCGCACTGAATCAATGAAAAAGGTTTTTTTTTTAATTGAATTATTGTATGACATGATATTTACGACACATAAAGAAAAGAAAAAAGCTATCGGTTGAAACAACAATCGTTTCACATACGCAGTTATGTCCTGCACGACCTTTAATTAGATGCAAGTTCAAAGGATATATATATATATAAAACGTTACGTTAAAGAGTACGTTTAAGCTGTATTTGTAGTTTAGACTATTTATCAATACAGGATATTCTTGAAGCATCTTGTAGTTAATGTGCCCCAAGACGATATATCTCAGTATAGGTGTTCTTTCCAACCACGTCACACCAAACGTGGCAACTCTTGGAAATTAAGGATTCTAGTAGATTATACGAAAACTAAACTAAGCATTCTTGTTTTTTTAAGTGCATTTTTGCAGTATGTGCTGTTTACACAATGATCATGAGCGTATTATTGTCTCCAGATTTTTGTTGTTGTTGTTGTTAACTACATTATATATATTTTCAATAAATACTGGTATAATGAATGAGTATTATTTATTGGCACTCGTGTATAATGTTAAAATAGGTACACGGTTAATTAAAGTCAATCTATGACCACTAAAAAAGTGAGTCTACATGTACCCTTATGTCTTGCAACTCACTCCTGAAGATGACGGTCCAACGTCGAAACATGTAGAGTCAACTCTTCTTTTTTTTTACTGGTCATAGATTGACTTTAATTAAAATTTTTTAATTGTGTGTTATTTATTATAATAATAACCGATACATTAGATAAATATAAAAATTAAATTACGAATTATTGGATACTTATTTACATTTTTAAATATATATATATATTTTACGTTTTATTGAATATTAGGTGTTTGGCCTTCTTGGACTTCTCTGCTTCGGTGCCTCAGCCTATCTCTCCTACTTGGTCTTCCGAGATAGAGTTCCTCCGGGATCGACTGGCACCACTACTGTTACGACAGTAACAGTAAAATAAACGTTTTTAGCCTTTCGTCAACACAGTAATAAACACCTGCGGGATGCCAAATAGAATTAAGTTTGTTTGTCAATTAAGAATTTGAATTGATCAAGGAAAGACAAAAAGGATAAGTTCACTGCCAACGTAATTGTTTGTTAGACGCATAAATTGCGAGACCAATTCATTCATACTAAGAAAGGAACGTTGGGAACCAACGTATTCTTCACATATAATAATCCTTTATAAACCTGTCACATAAGGGACGTTTCCATCACTTTTCATCTGGTTATCTACCAGTCATATGCTAACCATGCCTTAATTGAGTAATTAAAAACTAATTTATATCCTCCTTATGAAACTGCTTGGAAAAGGAAGAAGCGGAGATGTTAATAGTATTTCTAATTAAAATTTCTACTTCAATAAATTTCTAAGCAGCTGTTCAAAATTCCAATCGTCCCAAAACATAGTCACGTAATACGTGTGTTTATATTACACCCGGTAATGTTTTAGGCTTTATTATACCTATTGTTTTAATTTATCAAGAAAGCCTAACATAATATCTTTAATTTCAGTTTACAATATTATATTGGTATAATAGTATTCCAAATGAAGAATTGATATTATAAGTACAATCTTTTTTTTTTTACCATAGTTTGAGAAACATGTACATCACAGAAGGTTTATTAGAAAACCTGTCTTTCTAAAGACCTATTTGTAATTGTTGTAGTGGTGTAAGCTTATACGCGTTTATTACAGATATCTAAGTAATTTTTCTTCTGAACAAATCCTTCATTTTGTTTTTACTTATGAGTTAAAGGTCAGTGCAGCCTACATTTTGGTTGCTCTATTTAAGTTCAAGTGCGTTTAGCAGTTTTAACCTATTACTTTTGACTTCTTGAAATGGAATACGATGAGCCACTGCAGCTTAATATATTTTTCAAAGAATAATTTTAAAATCAAAAACATTATTATTTTGAGCTGAGAAATCCCTCAACCATAAAAGCTGTCACTATCTAAAACTAAATTGGACGTTCACTTCCTATCACTCAGGCAACAAAAATTCACTTCAGCCTATCGTACAATATTAACTTTGAAAATGGGAGTTTCTTCATAATCGTGGCTAAACATTACTAACTTTTCGTGGATCCTTTCTTTACATTAGATCATTCCTAGAAAAATAAATATACCTTTACAGAATAATCAATATTGGGTCATGTTGAACTTATTCTCCCTCCCCTTTAATTATTATTTCGGTACCTCAGTAATCATGCGATGTTCAGCGTAATAAAACTTCCTGTTATTGTACTGGTTTATTACTGCGTGTGTTTATATAGATAGTAGACTGTGGTATACGTAAAAGTTAGCAGCGTTTTTATACATTATTTAAAACTAAAACCAATTTTCTGTGTACTTTTTTTTAGAAAAAGATACATTAGCCAAGATTTATTTCACAAGCCTTTCGCAATCCGATGTTTGGAGTTTGATTAGAACCTTTTTTTCCAGTTTATGTTATATTTATCTTAAACATGAATATTTTTCAGTACAGTTTTATGTTACTTTAACGATATCTTTCACACGGTTAGACACGTTCATCTATTGTTGTTCGTCTAACACGAATTGAGGGAAATCTGTTTTATTATTTTCTGTTGTTTATTTACATAGTGACAAGGCTCCTAATGAGGATAGTGTTACACTGAAAGTAATGATCTGATTAAAATTATGTTGATATATATATCCGCTATTTATATTTCATGCTTTATTTAAAACTCAAGAATATATATATATATACACACACTAATAGAACAGTATTAGGACAGAGGTGTATTTAAGCTGGAGAATAAAATCAGTTCAATTCTAAGAGTCTGTGTAATATATATAGATAGATGGATAAGATGCGTTGTTACTCATAACCATAAACATTACAAAATAACTGGCATTTTTCAATGTTGTTTTAATAACGTCTGATTACTACTTCCACCCTGACAAGCTAGCAATTACAATATTCAAACAATACCTTTCAATATCAATAAAGAAAAAAAACTTAATTCCAATAATAATAATAATAATAATACAGCAATGACACTGTTTAAACGATACCTTTCAATACCAATAACAACATCGAGTGACAAACGGCAATAACTATACACTTCATTAACTGTCTCTCTCTATTAGTGAAGCTTCTGACAGGGTATTTATTCACAGAGTAGGTCACGAGAGTACAACCTTATGTGATCATAAATTTACATACTCTTCTGCTACATTAATAGTATCTATACTTCACCGCTAGGGAAACTGATGTCAGTTTCAACATACATACATAATTACTCAAAATACAAATGATTACCCCAATTATAAGCGAACACACAGACAATTATGTCGAACAATGGTTTAGATATTGGTTGTCCTAAATCAAAAGTTTTATTGACAAACCATGCATGTTTTATGTGTCGTTTAATTATTTTGTTTGGCTCTCTGAATATTCATCCAGTGAATTAATAATTATTTTTATTTATTTTATTTCTCATAGTCCTTGTGGACCGTTGAGCCGATGGCAGAGCAAGATCTGCCATCGTTTCTAAAGCTGTTTCTTACGTCAAGGATGCAACCCACTTGACAGCCTTCCCTCTTTGAAAGGACGAGCATGTTCGGTGTGACGGGGATTCGAACCCGCGACCCTCAGATTGCGAGTCGAGCGCCTTAACCACCTGGCCATGCCGGGCCGAATTAATAATTAATTTATAATAATTCGTTACGAAAGTACCATTCATTATTTAAATAAAATTTCAATCAATAACTTGTTCCAACAATATAAATCAATATAAATACAATAATACGAGAAGGAATTTCTTGTTCCAACTGTTCATCTAGACCAATGAGGTCGATACATGACGAATGAGTTAATTTATTGTTTCAGTCTTCTGAACTGGCATACAGATTTCTACAGTTCCCATCTACAATAATACTGACACTTTGAAAACAACTCTAATGAAACAAAACCATGCTTGAAAAATGTTCACCGATTTAGTTTAGATTATTTATTAAAAGGTGAACAATAATAAACTTACTTGTTAAAAATTGTGAAGAATATATTTAGATTATTTATCAGAAGATGAACAATAATAAACTTACTTGTTAAAAATTGTGAAGAATATATCATATAAAAGTGTCAATCTAAGATCTAATAAGAATACTTTTATTAAATTCAAAGCTTAGATTATGCAAATTACAATACAAATTGTTGTATGTTAAGAAAAATTATGTACTCATTACCTAACATCTGCGAAGGTAAAATAATGCACCAGGATCGAGTTCATGGTGTTTAGGAAATGTTCCGATTAATTTACTCCTAAGCCTAATTCTAATCGTGCACACTAAACACTTATTTATCTGGCATACTCGGAAAACCAAGTATATATAAAAAAAAAACTTCAGGAAATTTGTAACTGTCCGAAACAAACAAAATTTTCAAAGGGGTTGTAACACGCAACACATACCAGTATTGTTTGTTTGAATTTTCGCGCAAAGCTACACGAGGGGTATCTGCGCTAGCCGTCCCTAATTTAGCAGTGTAAGACTAGAGGGAAGGCAGCTAGTCATCACCACCCACCGCCAACTCTTGGGCTACTCTTTTACCAACGAATAGTAGATTGACCGTCACATTATAACGCCCCCACGGCTGAAAGGGCGAGCATGTTTGGTGGGATGGGGATGCGAACCCGCCACCCGCAGATTGCGAATCGAGCGTCCTAACCACCTGGCCATGCCGGGCCTACCAGTATTGAAACAAGAGTAAAGATTAGGTAAACACGATAATCAAAACGATTCCACAGTTACCTCAGATTACCTGTCATATTGATCATGAAGTATTTTAGACAGCCTCCCTGGTGGCTGATCGGTAAGTCTGTCCGTTCATAACGCTAACAATCGAGTGTTGATAGCCAGGATGGGTAGAGCACAGGCAGTCCTTTGCTCAGCTTTGTGCTTAACAACAAATAAACTAAAACATTCTGAATTTTATATAAGTCTTGACATTTAAGTATTGCAATACATTTATATAGATATTGTACTTATATTGATTTATTTATATAGATATTGTACTTATATTGATTTATTTATATAGATATTGTACTTATATTGATTTATTTATACAGATATTGTATTTATATATATTGTACTTATATTGATTTATTTATATAGATATTGTATCTATATTGATTTATTTTATAGACATTGTTTTATTTATATAGATCTTGTATTTATATTGATTTATTTATATAGATCTTGTATTTATATTGTTTTATTTATATAGATATTGTATTTATATTGATTTATATATATAGATATTGTATTGATATAGATCTAAAGAACTTAATTCAATAAAAATATAATTTCCCAAAATATATAACCCAAGGATCTTTAATCAATCAAGAACTACCTTCATCCCTGATGTACGAATTTGAGCATCTTATATCACGTAAAAATACAAGTATTTTCAACCACAAATGAAAATTTCAAACATCAGTACAGTACGAGGGAAACTACAGTTGAGTTACACTTACAACTATTTATAGAACAGTATTCTAAATAAAACGCAAAATTGACGTACAAATTTATAAATTGGGGGAAGTAGGACAGTTAAAGGTAAATAGTGAAACGAGGACGTCTTCCCCTTAATTCATGCCACCATTCAACACATCATAACCTAAATGTTTTTTTGTTTTTTTTCTACAAGATGGTTAGGTTATCTTCTTTAGGGTCATGTTTTTATTTGTTGTGCGCGAGCCATGAAAAAGCTAAGTGAATTGAGGTTGAAGATATTGAAAAATACAAAAAGAATGAATCAGACACAGTTTTAGAGACGTTCGTTAGTAGTTTGAAATAACAGTTCTGTTAAATTACTCTATAAAACAATAGTACAATCAAGCACTCGAATAATCAGGACAATTAAACATTACGTGTAATAGCTTTAACTTTTATGCTCTAACACAGCTTTTGAGTGACCATTTATGCTGGACCTTTAGGTTAAATACACGAAGAAAACTATCTGCTAGATACAAGACTTCTGAGGGAATGGAAGTATCATATATATATATATTATCCAATTTATTAGTATACTATTAAATATATATATCAAATAAAATAAACCAATGAACATCCGTTCTAATT